ATGTAAAATCGGGCAGCCACCATGGGAAACAGTCAACAGTTCCTCAAAAAGTTAAGTATGGAGACACCAACGGCACAGCAAATCAGCTACTCAGTGCACACCCAAGAGAACCAAAGACACATGTCTACACAACACTGTGCACAATACTCACATGGCATGATTCACAGAGGCCAAAAGGTAGACAAGCCCAAAGGTCCCCCAGCTGGTGACAGACTAACACAACGTGGTCCACCCACACACTGGAGTGTTACTTGACTGTGAGAAGGAGGGAGGCGCTGACACTCGCCACAACGTGGATGGACCTTGAACAGACAGTGCTCAGTGAGAGAAGCCAGACACACAAGGCCACTCAGTGTGTGATTTCATTTATGTGAAATGTCCAGAACAGGCACATCCACAGCAGGACGTGGGTTAGTGATTGTCAGGGGCTGGGGGAGCTATGGGGGTGACTACAAAGAGGGATGGGGTCTCTTTTGGGGTAATGGTATGTTCTGGAACTAGACAGAGGTGCTGGTTGCTAAACATTGTGAATGTAGTAAAAATCACTGAGGAGTCCATTTCAATGAATTTTATGGTCTGTAAATTACATCTCAACTAAAAGGGGAGTGTGTGGTATGCCAATAAAGCTGGTTAAAAGGCACTGTGAAGCCGGCCAAGTGGCTCGTTGGTTAAGAGTTCGCTTGGGGGCCGGCCGAGAGGCGCGTTGGTTCAGAGCTGGCTTGGAACGCCAGAAGGCCCCGGTTCGGATCCCACATTGAGGGCCAGTGACACTGCCCTCTACAGCTAAGATTGTGAACAACAGCTCGACCTGGAGCTGGGTTGCCATGAGTCGCCTAAGCTGCAGCCCCTGCTGCAGTGGGTTGCCATGGGCTACCATGTGTAGCCAGCAGCCAGCGTGAGCGGCCGTCCAATGGCTGGCGACCAATCTGCCTCAGCCAGGAAGAGCACAACGATCACAATACCAACATGGGCCAGTGAAGCGACGTGCTCAACTAGACTGAAGAACAAAAGGACAGCAACTTGTCTGTTCCCCTTCCCCGATTCCCCAACACTGTTTCTGCCCCCAATTCCCCAATAAAATCTTGAAGGAAAAAAAAAAAAGGCGCTGTGAGTATGCGGCTCTGGCTGGTGGCCTTGAGAAAAGGGCTCATCCCTGTGCAGATCAAAGTCCGCTGGAACGCAGGATGACTGCCAGAGCCACACCTCCTGCCCTTGGACCTGTGTTGAACCAGCTTCTGTCACAGAGGAATCGAGGCGTGTGCCCACAGGAAGTAACAGATGCAGAAACTGGTGAGATGGTGGGGGGAGGAGGAGGAGGGGCTCTCGGCTGCCTGAGAAGAGGACACCAGCCTGTCAGCCTCAGCCCTTCTCAGAGGCCCTGGGCAAGACCCAAGGGGACACAGAGGTCCCCCACAACCATCCAGGACAGGCTCAGCCCCCAGGTCCTGGGGCACCAAGTCCACACAGCACCTCCAAGTGCTCTAAACCTGATCAGGGTGACTGCATGGCTCCCAAGCACCTGTGCACAAACAGGGTTTACATATCAGGAGGCTCAGGGAGCCAACCCCTCAGGGCCACACTAGTGGCCCAGGTAGAACTTAAAGACCTGGAGACCACAGAGCTGCCCAGCCCTGTCTCCGACTCATCCTGGTGAGCAGGCAAAGCACCCCACCTTGGTTTCTGAGATCAGCCCCAGGGTAGAACAGCCCCCAGTGCCCAGAAAGCTGCATCAAAATCACTGAGAATCCAGGTTCCTGGCTCACTGCTGAGATGTTGCTGCAGGTGGCCGGGCAGGGCCTGGGGACCTATGCCCAGTGAACACCAGCAGCTGGGCTGGGAGCCACCACTCAAGTCATGAAGGTTCCACTTTCCACCTGGCCAACCAGCCACATGCCCCAAACCAAACCCCCTTAGCCTGGCACACCCAGGGTGCCCACGCCAGCCAGAAGCCCAGATAAGCAACTTTTAGAGTAAATGTATCCCATGCGGTATTCGGGACATACTTATACTAAGCAATTTTGGGTTGTTTGCCTGAAACTAAATTTAGCTGGACGCCTGCATTTTTATCTGCTTGTCTGGCTGCACCTACACAAAGCTGCCCTCCCCCGGCACCCTTGGGCTGAAACCTGTGCAGGAACACACAACCCACAGCAGCTGGCAGACCTCCCAGGACTCGCTGGTCCCAAGGGCGCTGTTTTCTACTCAAAAATGTGTATTTCTTAGAACCAAGCATTTCCAATGAAAATTTAGGGTCCAAATGGCAATGAACCCTGAGCATAAAATGCACACCCAAAAAAGAAATAATAAGCTGTCTCTCACCCATCACATGTTTAAATGATATTCTAGACATATCGAGTTAAGTAAAATATATTAAAATGATTTTCACCTGTTGCTTTTTGTTTTTTAACGAGGCTACTGGCATACTGTTCCTCTGAAGCACTCATCGCTGCCCACACGCTGGGTACTGTTGTGACCGTATCACACAGGGAAGTGGAGGCCCCGAGCTGAAAAGTGCCTGGCATCCCATCAACATCCCGGGAGGCCTAAAGACTGGAGGCTCCTGGCCACACTGCACCCCGCACCCACCTCCCTGCCCTGCCTGCTCACCCTTGGGTTTTCAGGGTCCAGAAAGGATGGATATGCCAAGGCAGGGACCAACTCCACCACAACCACAATTATGAGGGGCCCCACTGCTCCTGAGGTGGCCTGGGATCCAGGAGCAGCGGCAAAGTTAACCATGGGACAAAGTGTCCCATGTGTCCCTAGGGGAGATGCCACTCTCCCTAAGGTCAGCCTCGCAGGGACCTTGCTCAGACCCATCAGTAAACCTGCAAAAACACAAGGGACTCCACAGCTGTCTGGGACGCCTCTCAGCTGGCTTGCTTCCCAAATTACTAGCTGGTGTGCTGGCTCCCCCCAAAACTGGGATGAGCACATAGGAAGGCTTACAGTGAAAAACAAAACAAACAAAAAAAACCTTACCTGCTTCCTCTTGCAACCCCGATATAATTACTATGTAATTAGGAGAGTCAGATGGAACCAGAACTGTCAATTCAAAGAAGTCAGTCTACACAGGGTTTTGTCGTCACCGTGAAGGGATGCCCGGAGTCAGGTAATGAAATGCCTGTCCCATCCACTTCAGAGAAATGAAAGGAATCAGAACCAGACAAGGAGGCGCTTTACCAGGGCAGACTGCCAAGTGTGCACGGAAAAACCAGACCCATGCCCAAGGACCACTGGAGACCCCCAGGGCTCTCCCCCTCTCCTGGGGCTGAGGGTCCAACCAGCTTCTTCCAGATCTCCCTCTACCCCGGCCACAGTCACACCTTCACCTGCCGAGGGCAGGAGACACAACTGGCCCCCAAACCTGGGATCTAGCTCACCCCCAGTGCCCCTAGCAGCTACCCCATTCTGTTCCTTGGAGGCAGGGCCACAGACACCTGGAGTCCTGGAGACTCCTGGGGGCGCTGCATCAACCCCACCCAGTCCCCTCCCCTCGCCCTGCAGAGTCCAGAGTGATTCCTTTCTCAGGGCACAATTTGGTGGAAATACATGCAAAAAACAGAAACGAAGTACTGACAACAGCGGCAAACTTCCCCCTTTCAAACCTATGGGCCAGCTCACAATTTGTTCTTCTCACAGAGATGACTCCATTCTCCCATGATGGCCACCCCATCCCTGATCAGAGGAGCTCCCCACAGGTGGCAGGCGATTTGCCCCCACCCGGATCAGAGCCTTTGTGCTTCCCCACTCATCTCACACCCATGAGCTACTGGAGGCCCTGGAGGCTGGCAAATGCCAACTGAGCCTGTCCGTGTCCCCGGGGACAGGAATGGAGGACCCAGGAATCTGGAGCCCCACCCCCAGAGTTCCAGACACTTGCCAGGCCTGGGTCCCCCGGTGGAAGGGAGTGGAGAGAAAATGCTGGACTCCACCTACAAGCACGGAACCCTCCAGGGCCATTTCCTGCAAACAACGCGGGAATAACCCAGCTGCCCCAGAGCCTGCCCAGGACGACAGCTTGGACATCACCGCGAGGCTTTCTCTCAGGTCCCCAGAGCCTAACGTGAAAGCTTCCCCTGGAAGAAAGTTGGGGCAGAGGGAACAGGGAAAGAGCCGTCCCTGGCAGGGCAGGGATCAGTGTGGCCACCAAGAAGGCACAGACCTCTCACCACCCCCTCCCAGATCTGAAGTGTTTCCGGAAAACAAAGCCAGAGGCAAGGGCGGAAGGGGGAGGGCGCAGCCAAGCTGAGAGCCTGAGCAGCACCCCGCAACAGGTCACCCTGGTCGAGACCCTTCTTTGCTGCACACCCCTTCCCCACCTCAAGGCTCCAGCTCTTCCCACAAGACCCCTCAGTACCACGGTGGGGGGGGGGAATGTTTGCAGTGGGCTTGGGCGGGGGGGCGCAGTGATAGGAGAAGGTGAGACAGTGAGGGACAGCAGGGTCTGGAGCGAGGGATCAGTAGTAAGTGCGGGCAGCTAGGCCTGGAGTGAGGGGTCAGTGGGGAGCAGCTGGGCCTGGAATGAGAGGACAGTGGGGGAGAACAGGATCTGGACTGTGGGGATAAGCGGGAGTGAGAAGTGGCAAGGCCTGAGTTTAGCGGTCACTGAAGGGGCAAAGTGTGGAGTGAAGGGAGTAAGGGGTGAGGGATTGGGGTCTAGAGTATGGGAATCAGTGGGCTGTAGGGGCAGTGGGGTCGGAGTGTGGGAGTCACGGGGGTGTTGGGGCAACGGGATCGGAGTGCGGAGTCAGTGGAGGTGAGGGGTTAGCAGCAGGGTTCGGAGTGCGGGGGTTCGCGGGTTGTACGGGCAAAGGAAGCTGGGGTAAGGGGGTCCAGGGTGCGGGCTGTAAGGGTAGAGGGGTCTAAGGTGGGGGGATTGGCGGAGTGCGGGGATCCTGGGGTACTGTAGGGGCGGCGGGGTACGGGAGTCCACGGAGGTGGGGCCGCAGGGCTGGGCGCGTGGCCGCGGCAGCCGGCGAGAGCGCGCGCGTCGTTACCTCTCGGCCTCCGCCGTGGCCGTGGCCCCGCGGCCGGCCGGCCGGGCAGGGCGGCCCGGGCTCCCTCAGCAGCGTGGCGTGGGCCCCCACTCCGGTTCCCGCTCTCGCTCCGGCTCCGGCGCTTGTTCGAGCATCCGCTCCCGCGCCGCCGGACTCCGCATGTTGGGCGCGGGCCGTCCCCGCCGCGCGGGCGCCCGGCTCGCCCGTCTCGTAGCGTCGCCGAGACCCGCGCTTACGCCGCCAGAGTCGCGGGGAGGACCCGGCGCTCACTGCGCAGCCGCCGCAGGGCGCGCGCTGACGTCACAACGCGGGGAGGGGCGGGGCCCGGCGGCACGCCCGCCGCTTTGCGGCAGCGGGTTGCGCTGCTGGACGACCGCCGCGCTTTGCGGCCGCTTCAGGGTATTGAGGCCGCTGCCCGCGGGGCCAGCCAACTCGCACGGATACGGGGGCGCGCGCGCGCGCACGGGAAGGGAGATGGGCCAAGTCCACCCGTCGGGGGGCGGTGCTCCCGCCCGGTCCCGCCCCGCCGTTGCCATGGTGACGCGTGGCCGTCTGTCCCGCTGCGCTTCTGTTACGTCACGGTCTCGCCACCTGACATCACGGCCGGGCGGCGGCGCGGGGCGTGGTCAGCGCAGAGACTGATCGACTTTGGGGGCGAGCGGCGGGTCGCTGGCCGGGTGGTGCCGGGATGTGAAAGCACTCTAGTATGATGGGCAAGCGGTGTGGATGGTCTTCGCAGTTTCCTGTTAAGTGGTGACGTCAGTGAGGAGCAAAGGAGGGATCAGCACGGCGTCCGTCGTGGGTCACCTAAGGCAGCTGGCCTGGCTGGGGTACTGCTGGGCCGGCCTGACGGAGCTCAGGCTGGCCACTTGATAATGCCCACTGCCCACGGCCAACCACCTGGACCTAGAGGAGGCGTGGGGAGGGGGTGACTGACGAAGGCCCGGCGGTGAGGCCCTGCTCCACCTGGGACTGGACCTGGAGAAACCATGCCTGCCCTCCCACATGCCCGGCATGCCTCCGGGGGTATTTTAACGTTAGAGGAGACTCATCCATTCAAGTATGTATTAAGTGTCTGCCAGCGGCTCTCAGAATAGAATGGTGAGCTGTACTCTTGACTTCGCTTCCCAGGGAGTCCTCAGTCCTGGGGGGAAGAGGAGACAGAACAGTAAATAAGTAGACACAGTGGTTTCAGAAGGTGTTATAAGGCAGCGTGGGGTAGTGACCGAGGGCTGCACCCTACAGGCTAAAGCTAGGTATGACCAGATGGGAAGAAGATTCCATGGTGTCTGATTACTTACTATGTGGAGGGCCGGCCGAGTGGCGCGTTGGTGGTCCCGGTTCGGATCCCACATATGAGGGCCAGTGACACTGCCCTCCACAGCTAAGATGCTGAACAACAGCTCAACCTGCAGCTGGGCTGCGGTGAGTCGCCAGTGAGGCGTAGGCTGCAGCCCCTGCTGCAGTGGGTTGCCATGGGCTACCGTGTGTAGCCAGCAGCCAGCATGAGCGGCCAGCAGCCGCAGTGAGCGGCTGTCCAGAAGCCGGCGACTGATCTGCCTCGCCCGGGAAGAGCACAATGATGGTGCCAACTTGGGCCAGTGAAGCAACGTCCTCCACAACTAGACTGAAGAACAAAAGAACAGCAACTTGTCTGTTCCCCTTCCTCCAATTTCCCAGCACTGTTCCCATCCCCCAATTCCCCCATTTAAAAAAAAAATCTTTTAAAAAAATAAAATCAAATCAACCTCCTCTGCCAGCCATGCCAGGCCGGGGACCAGGTCTGCTTTGCTCACTGCTGTGCCTGTACCTACACTAGGCACTCAGTCTGTGTGTAGTAAATGAATGAACGAACGAACTCCATGGTCCTCCCAGATCCTGGATAACTTGGGGTTTTATTTTCTCAGATTTCCAAGCCCTATCTCTCCTCTTCTTTCCCACTCTTGACATTCAGGAAAATCTGCTTTCAGGCACTCAACTCCCAGAGGGGCAGGAGGGCCTATCCTCCAGAGGTATTTGAGCCCTAAATCCGAGTTCCATCCTTGCCCCTGTAAAAGGCAGGGTGGCTTGTGTAGCTGAAAGAACACAGAAAGTGAGGCCAAGGCAGGGGTTGTGCCCGTCAGAAGCTGTGTCACTTTCAGTAGGTCACTGACCCTCTCTGGGCCTCCACATATTCATCTGTATATTAGGGCTAACGATAACCCCCTCAGGTATATCATGGGAATCCATGAGTTAATAAGGAACTGCCAGCATAGGACCTTCTGCCTCAAACGAACATATTTCTTTCAAAGATCACTTCGGATCTTTGAAAAAGCAAACCACCTTTCCAGCTTTCTCATTTTTAACTCACTTCAAATGTGTTCCACATGTTCTTGCGTCCTTTTGGCTTTGATCATGGGGACACCATTCGGGAAAGTTGGAGTGGGAAACAACCTCTTTGGGCCTCTTGATAAAATAATAAGAACACTGTAAAGAGGATGAGCTGGTCTCCCTGCCACCCCCCCCCCCAGAAAGTCAAACAATATCCTGGCCTCCCAATAAGTCCTAAACAGCTGTGAATTTCGGGGAGGAGATGACAGGAAGCACCCTTTCTATTTCTTTACCCTTCTAAGAGGCAGTTCCATCTGTCTCTCCCTGCTTGAACAGACCCCAGGAGAGGCTCAGGGCTGTGTCCTGGTGTCTAGCACTAGCCCAGGCACAAGCAGGTGTCCTGGTTCACTTTTGTCCAATTGAATAGAATTAGTGATCCCTGCTGCCAGGCCCCTCCCGCCACAGGGCAGGGAATCACTTGGACATGCACATTCCCATTTTCCAGCTGTAGATGGAAACGGGTTTAAGAGGCAAAGGGATTTGTCCACCATCCCCTGGCTTCAAATCTGCAATGCTGCGCCCTTCCACAGGTGCATAGTGCTGGCTCCGACTGTTCTGAGTGGCAGCCTGGGACCCCCCACACACACCCCAGTCCCAGTGGCTGCAGTGTAAGAGGGTGTTCCACTCAAGGCAGGACCTGATGCCATATGCCCACAACTGATTGGGACAAGTCGAAGTTCTCTCTCTTTGGACACTGTGAGCAATGGAGGGGAAACTGAGGCCAGAAGACACATGAGAGAGGCGGTGAGGGGCAGCCATGCAGAAGCTCCTGGAGTGAACGGTCCACCCCAGGGTTCTCCTCATCCTCTTAGAACAGCCCCCAGCAACCTGGTCTGTACCATGTGACCACCCAGCCATCTCTGATTGGCCCAGAGTGAGCCAATCAGGTCCTCGTCTGGGATTGCTGAGCTGGAGGAAGCATGGTACCTAACTTGCTACCAGCATCTGCTTTACCCATTGTGATACTGTTGTTGACTGGCGAAAATAACTCTCCAAAATGATGCACAAAAAAAAGGGTTTATTTGGAGGAAGGGAAAAAAACTACCACTGCACTACAAGACAACTGCATTCCTCCCATACCGGCCGTCCACGCACCTCCAACACCGAGCTCCAACCGGCCGCCCACGTGGAGAAACGGAGAGAGCCATTTCAAGATGGCAATTTCTATTTATACCATCCCCCCCCCAATCTCCCACAAAGTTAAACATGGAGTCAGGGTCACAGAGTTAACAAGGGGCCCAGCTGCACCCACAGTCCTCCCAGCTCTATGGTCAAGCATCACAAAATTTCAGTTCACTTTATCATAGTGTCGGGCACCCCAGTTTGCCCAGGTCTCCTGGGACTGTGCTAAAACCCAAAATTCCCAGCAAACTGGGATGGCTTAGTACCTGAGTGTGGGGCATGCAGTGTTGGAAAAGGTAGAGGGTTGAATAGCGTCCCCTCAAACTCATGTCCCCCTGAACCTCAGAATGTGAAATAGGGTCTCTGCAGATGTAGTTAAGATAAAGTCATTAGGGTGGGCCTTGAATCCAATGACTGGTGTCCTTTTAAGAAGAGAGACATGCATATAACTATGCAAGGGTGTTTATTTAAAGGATACAAACTATAAAAAAGAGAGAAATGCAGAGACAGAGGCAGAAAGAAGATGGCCATAAAACGAGGAGGAGAGATTGGGGTGATGCAGCCACAAGCCCAGGAACGCTCATCCCAGAGGCTGGAAGCAGGAAGGACTCTCCCCTGGAGACTGGAGGGAGCGGGGCCCTGAGACACCTTGATCTCAGACTTCTGGGCTCCAGATATACAAGGATAAATTGTTTTGAGCCACCCAGTTTGTGGTGCTTTGGTACGGTGGCCCCAGGAAAATCATACAGGTGTGGACCTGGATTTGGCCACAGTTATGGGTTGCACTGTGTCCCCCCAAAATATATGTTGAAATCTTGATCCCTGGTACTTGTGAATGGGACTTTATTTGGAAATAGGGTCTTTGCAGATGTAATTAAGTTAAAATGAGGTCACACCGGAGTAGGGGTGGCTCTAACGCAATAACTGGTGTCCTTATATAAAGACGGAAATCTGAACACATATGCTCAGGGAGAGGCCATGTGACGACACAAAGACTGAAGTGATTCATCTACAAGCCAAGAATGACGAGGCTTGCTAGAGCCACCAGAAGCTGGGAGAGAGGCCTGGAACATTTTCCTTCATGGCCTCAGAAGGACCCAGCTCTGCCAACACCTTGATCTCAGACTTCTGGCCTCCAGAACTGGGAGGAAATACATTTCTGCTGTTTCAATCCTCTCTGTTTGTGGTCATTTGTTACAGCAGCCCCAGGAGACTAGAAGAGCATCAAATAGTCCTGTTTGGGGTTTGGAAACTGGAGCATGGGATGGAAAGAGCCAGCTCACAGCCGCTATACCAGACAAGGCTGTGGGTCTTGCCCACTCACCACACAGACACTCTAGATGTTCCACCTCGCATCTCTTGGTCTCCACAGCCAACTTCACTTCCAGGGTAGGACCTGATTCAGGGTCCACAGGCATCTAAGTTCCCATAAATTCACTCAGAAAAATGAATTCCTGGTCGCCTTGAAACACCAAAGTTGGTTTCTGGCGCTTGAGGTGAGGTGCCTGGCTGACGTGACAGATAAACAGAAGCCATGAGGTAGTGAGACATACTCTGAGTCATGGGGTAAGGAATTAGTGGGTGGTGGCTGGAGTCATAGAAGTAGAGCTAAAGACTGACTGGGCGACAATACAACCCATCTGTGTGAGTTTCCCAGGGCAGCCATAACAAAGTACCATAGAAAAACAGAAATGTAGTCTCTCACGGTTCTGGAGGCCAGAAGATGTCGGCAGGGTGTGCTTCCTCTGAAGGCGCTGGGGGATGGTCTGTTCCAGGCCTTTCTCTGAGTTTCGGGTGGCTCCTTGGCTTGTGGCAGCATCACTTCAGTCTCCCCATGGTGTTCTTCGTGTGCCTGTCTGTGTCCACATTTCCCCTTTTATAAGGACACCAGCCATAGTGCATTAGACCCACACTATTAGTACCATTTCAACTAATCCCACATACAATGACCCTGTCTCCAAAGATGTGACATTCTGAGGTACAATAGGTTGGGACTTCAACATACAGACTTTTTGTTATAATTCAACTTATAACAAAACACAAACACACATACCCACGTATACATACAAACACACACATATGCACCTTAAACACACAGACACAACATATGCACACATATATGCACACACACAGATGCACACCGACCAGCTCTCAGGGCAGAGTCAATGCTCCTAAGCCCAGCTGTATGGGAATTGAAGGATAAATGCCCCCCCCAACTCCCCCACTTGTGGACGGAAAACCTGAGACAAGATCTCAGTGCTTCCCAAAGGGTCCAGAGGGACTGAGCTCAGACTGCCCATGGCTGCAACCTGCTCATTTATGCTTCCCAGATAAACTTCTTGGCCTCAATCTCTGTCTTGGGGCCAAAACATCCCGTTGCCATGGAGTGAATGCAGCAGCCAGTGGGGTGATCTAGCTGTCACCCTCTATGAAGCCAGGCATTAAAGAGATTTGGAAAATGAAAATAATGCCACACATAATTTTTTTTTCAAATGGGGGTTTTTTTTTAATGTTAAAATATAATGAATTTATTTTTAAAGGACATTAACAAATGTTTTTAAATTTTCTGTCTTCAACCCTAATATAATAAATATTTTTATTTAGCTGGGAGAGGCAGGGAGGACCCTCCCCTAGAGCTTTCACCTTGTGACACCTTGACCAGGGATGCCTCCAGAACATGAGAGCTTCAGACTCTTGTTAACGCTGCCCAGTCTGGGGGCCTCTGTTACGCGGCCCGGGCTCTAATCCATGCCCCACCATGTGCACCGTGAACCTTCCTTCTGCCCCAGGCCCTGGGGAGGCTATGGGTCTGGGCTAATGGAGGCAGAGCATTGAAAACAGAGTCACATTCAAGACCAATGCTTTTCTATGTAACTAGTACATGATCCCTCCATCAGATTAAAAAATATATATATCAATTTTTCCAATTCAGTTACTGCTCTTGATTTCCTCTAAGAACAGTTTCCCAGGTTAAATCTTGCAACTAAAGCAGGGGTCTCATCCAGAGTGATCCTGCCCCCTAGACACTGGGTGATATCTGGGCATCTGTGGTCATCATGAGTAGGATGATCCTGGTAGTAGTTGGTGGGGCCAGGGATGCTGCTGGAGACATGCCTACATCCTGGAGCTTGTGAATGGGACCTTATTTAGAAACAGGGTCTTTGCAGATGTGATTAAGAATCTCAAGATATCTTGGATTAGGGTGGCCCCAACTCCAATGATGGTGTCCTTGTAAGAGACAGAAGAGGAGGCAGAGAAGACTGTATGAAGATGGTGGCAGAGATGAGGGATGTGGCCACAAGCCCAGGGATGCTGGAGCCCCCAGAAGCCGGGAAAGGCAGAAAGGACCCTCACCTGGAGACTCTGGAGGGAGTGTGGCCCTGTGACACCTTGGGTTTGGACTTCTGGATTCCAGAATGTGAGGATAAACCCCTACAGTTTAAGCCACCCAGTCTGTGATCCTCTGTCATGGCTACCTCAGCCAATGGCCCCTTCTCAACTCCATCCTTGGTCTTCTCCCTCAACTCCACCCCCATCCTTTGTCCTTACATGCCACTTTTGAGCTAATGACCCACAGATTGGGTTTCCCAGGCCTGGGAGTCAGCCATGTCCTCAGCCCCACACTTTCCTGGTTCCTTTTCCTGCTCTGTCCCATCACCAAGCCCACCTCCACACCCAGCCAGGGGACACCTGCTGTTAGTGCTTGAGGCACACCCATCCTGTGTCCCTACAGCACACTACTCTCCGTCTCCCTGTCTCTCCACTTCCCTGATATTTGCTGATACTCCTATGCTCTCCCAACCTTTGGTGGTGCTGGCATCCTTGGTGGCCTTGGCTTGTAGACACATCACCCCAGTCTCTGCCCCACATGGCGCTTCCCTATGTGTCTGTGCCCAATGTCCCCTTCATATAAGGACACCAGTCATGTTAAATTAGGGACACCCTACTCCTGTCTGACCTCACTCTAACTACTTACATCTGCAAAGACCCCATTTTCTAAATAAGGTCCTGTTCTGAGGCCCTGTGGTGGGTGGAGGGGTGGGGTGAGGTCAGGAAATCTACATGTGAATCTGGGGGGACACAGCGTCTGGTTTCTCTCTGCAGGTCTAGTTTCTTTCCTGTGGTGGCAAAATGTCCTGTGGAATAACAGATGGCCACCCTCCCTCCTGTGTCTGTGTGGGGTGTCCAACCTCTGCGACGAACTGGTCCTAGGGAGCTCTGGGGGTAGGGGGCTCTCCAGCTGGGCCTGTCTCTGTAAGATGGTCATCTCTAGTCCAGCTACACTCACCATTACTTTTCCTTTATGGCAAGCAAGCTGGTTTTTCATTTTCTGCAAATTTCCTTTTTCAAATGAAAATTGTTCATTGTGAAGAAAACAAGTTCATTTAAAAGAAAAACCTGAAGGAAACTGCACCGCAGTGGTGTGTGGACGTGGCATGAGGACGAGGCCCCCCGGGGTGTGCAGGCAGGGCTCACACCCGTGGAGCCAGGGTGGCCCATCTGTGAAACCTGCTGTGGGGCGTCTGGGAGAGTTGGGCCACCCCAATGACAGGACCCGGGTCCAGGTGCACAGGCTGGTCCTGGTCTTATTCTGCTGGAGGCCATATGCACTGGGGAACTTGTCAGGAGGGAGGCCCAGGTAGAGAAACACCCTCCCACACACATGCCACAAATAGCCCCTGGGAGGCTTGGTCTGCTGAAGAAAGGATGTGTTTATTTCCAGAATATTTTCATGTAACAAAAACCACTACAATGTAACCAAGATGCCAAGTACAGCGAGGCAGAGGCGGGTGCTTTGGGCGAGTCCAGGCATTTGTCCTGCACCTGGTTAACCAGCTCTGTCACCATTGGCGTCAATCATGACAAGATCCAGCCCAAGATTAGTGCAGCACAGGCCTCTGTCAGTCACAGGAGGCTGGCTTGGGGGCATTATGGGGGCCTGGGAGATTCCAGGGTTGCATTTTCCATCCAGGAGGCCTTGTCCTTTGGGGACCCAGGCCCGGGTGCTTCCTCAGGAACCGTGGCATTCAGCACAAGAAACCAAGGCAAGCAATTGTGGGTGTGAAAGCATGTTCTGGCCACACCACGCCACACCATGCTGGGGCTTCTGGAGAGGGTGGAAGCCCAGCGGAGCACAGTGTGACGGGGATGGGTCACTCTCCTGTCCTGGGAATGGGCAGCCAGGAGCTGAGGGGCAGTGTTCCTGGAAGCCTGGCCACGAGAGCTGATAGGCCACCAGGACATCTTTCTTGGCCAGTATGAGCGTAAAGGTGCTGCAGAGTTGCCCATGTGGCATTTGGTTCTCCCGTCTCAGGAGCTAGAAGAATCAGGGGAAGAAGTGAGGGGGTTTGGATTCCTCAGTAAGGCACAGAGACTTGTCATGTCTTGTTTGCTCCCAAAAAGTCATTCTGAGAAACACAGTTTCCTGCTTCCACACGTCCAGAAGAGGGCCATGTGGGTCACAGCCTGAGCAGCCAAGCACTCAGGGCTTGGGGTGGCAGTAACCTTGGGCCCACATGTGCTCTGTTGAGACATTCCTGTTTTCCTGTTTGCACAGGGTGGGGAAGAGGCCAAACCCCCCCACCAAAGGATTCTGTCCCAGGTTTCAGTCCTGCACCAGGTTACGGGCATGGGGGTTATCAGCCCAGGGGCAGGTTTCAACACCTGTTATGAAGGGAGAGTGACCGAGGGCAGGAAGGCTGGAGCTGAGCTGGCCAATGACCCTGCACATGGCTGAGGACCCAGTGCGGAGTGACTGGAGCAGACGGACAGGGAGAAGCTGAGATCATGACACTGATGCGGTGAGTTGGCCTCTGGCCGTCCCCGTGGGCTCATCCATGAGAGCCTCTGGCTGCAGGTGGACGGGGACTTAAAAGGACAAAAATATTGAGGGCTCGACCTCAAGTTCCTGCGCTGCCAGCAGAGAACAGGAACCTGGTGCTCAGAAGACCCCCCTCTCCCTGGGTACTGAGAGAGGGTGATGGCCCAGATGGGGGCGGGGTAGACGTGAGAAGTGTCATCAGCTCTGGGAGGGAGGGCAGCTGGCTTGCTTCAAACTTCCAGGGGAGATCGTGGGTCAGCCCTCTGAGACCCCAAGGGCTGCTGCAGGGGACGCCATGGTGACTAAACATTTTTAGGAATAGAGGGGCATCCTTCTGCCAGATGGCAGGGGCTGGCCTGCTTCTGGGCATTTCTTGCAAGGAGCTCCACTTTTGGACATGAGATAAGCATGGGTACAGGTCCCCAAGAGCCGCAGAGGTCTGGGGTCACAGCTAGGGGAGCTCCTGGCCACCACTAACATGGGCTGCCGTCCTAGCTAGTGGAGGGGCCTACCCGCCACCTGGGAGAAACAGGGGACAAATGCTTAGGGTCTTACTGGACCAAGCAGGGCTGAAAGAGTGGATGGGGAGGAGGAGGTGGCCAGCAGTGGCAGGCAGGCGGCAGGGCCAGTCAGCTACCTCTAAGGCCACTGGCCGCCACTGGCCGGGTAGCTGGGTACAGTGGGGTACTCAGGCAGGCTGTTCCCTGAAAAGTTGTTGAATTGGGCCTCCCGAGATGGTGGGTTCCGCCAAGTGCCTGTGCTCCACTCTGTCTGTGCCTTCTGGAAGCTTCCACTGGTTCCCCGGTAGATCTTGTGTACCTTCCAGGCCAAGAGAGGGAGTAGAGGACAGACATCAGTGCATCTGCGAGTGACAGGGAAGCCGCTCCTGGCTAAGGTCATGCTTTTCTTAAAGGAATTAACAAAAGCCACAGAATGGTCTTTGTGGAAACATTAGAAAACACACAAGCCAAGACTGTGGCCTCAGAGGCCCTGCCCTGGGCCGCAGCCCCTGGCAGCTCTTGTTGCTGACCTCCGCTCCCTGAGAAGCCCATGGGCACGTGTCCTGGAAAGGGGCTCATCCTACTGCAGGTTTGGGTCCTGCCTCTCCCTGTAAATTGCCCCCACCCGACACTCACCACCTTGCAGGCGGCTCTGGGCACTCTCAGGCAGTGCCTGGCATAGAGAAACCCACCAGGAACTTGTATGACGATGACTCAAATGGCCTCCTGATGGGAGTGTCAGGCCCTACATTCTACACATCGCACACAGCCATCCCTGAGCGCTAATGATAGTCTCTGCAGCAGAGATCACTGGGGACGGACTACCAACTCCCCACCATCCATAAGGGCTGTGCCTCTGGGAACACAGGGCTGCACTATTTCTAGAAATCCTGGCAAATTCAATACTGACAAAGTGGCACTTTGTTTTAACTCGAAGCTCTACATTATCAGTGAAATTGAATGGTTGCGTTTTTCCGCCGGAATGTCTTCTTCTATATAGCTATCTTCCCGACAAATCTCCAAATCTGGGGTAGCCCTGGGCACCCTGACAGAAGGATCATCTGTACCTTTGTTTTGGGGGCACTAACTCTGTTTTGAGCCCACAAACCCCCACTCTCCTGCGCCTGCGGGTGTTCATGGCCCGCAGTTCTCGTTCTGACGTTGCCACTGAGTGGAAGCTGCTGGCAGATGCGCAGTCAGCTCGCCCATGGACTTCGCCCTGGAATCTCACTGACATTGACCTGTGGTGTCTCTAAGTACGTTCATGGTTTCTGTTGATTTTTCCCTTCAGACAGTCCATGCAGGTGAAAGGGCAAATATGGGGGAGCCAAGCATTCCTTTGTCCTCACTGAGTGCCAAGTATACTGCTTGAACCCAACCTCAAAGTGGGCTGGAACAGCTAGAACCACACAGCAAGGAGGTCTTTGAGGGACCCCAAACCCAGCTCTAAAAATCCTGGCCACCCTTCAGCCCAGTGCAGCTGGCGTCTCTGAGCAGCGCCCCTGTGTGCACAGCCAAGACAGCATCTCTGGGGGGCTGGGGTGGGCGCACTGTCAGCCTCATTGTCACCCTTGGACTTCACATGGCTCCAGGACAGTCCTCACGTGGTCGATGTCTCTGGGACTAGTGAAGATGTTTCTCGCTGGAAGTCCCCACACATCTGGAGAGGGGAGCTTTCTATGATGGTGTAGACGGTTGGTTGATGTGAAGCCACCAGCCACCACGGCCACTGAGCACTTAATATTTAGTTTATTTAATTTTACTTAATTTAACTGCAAATGGCAAGATGTGGCCAGTGGTGGCCAAATCAGGCAGCAAGGATGACACTTTTGGACATATGTATGCTGGGGGCTCTGGCAGACAGCACCTCCAAAGGCAGGTGTAGTTGTCATCAGCCATATTGTGCAGTTTCCCCAAGTCTTTCCTCTTTGGAAGGCTGCCGTGGGTAGGACAGGCAGGGTCTTGCCTGGAGCAGTTGAGGGTCTAGACCAGCGATTCTCAACCTGTGGGGGTAGAACGACCCTTTCACAGGGGTCGTCGGGTACTCGTATGTGGGCGTATCTGCATGTGGGCCTGGAGACAGATAGAGGAGCGGTGTCTCGGTTCTTAAGACCATCAAAAATATGTGTTTTCCGATGGTCTAAGCGACCCCTGTGAAAGGTTGAGAACGGCTGGTCTAGACCATGAGAGGGTCTTTCTTGCTAATGAAGATCACGTCACTTCCCAGGCACTCAGTCTCTTATTCCTGAAACGGGGATAAGATGAGTCCCCAGGGCCAGAAGGGTCAAGTGACAGGATGCATGGGGAAAAGCTGGATGTCTTGGGACTCAGAGGACTTACCTTCATGATCACAATAGCCATCATGGTGGCCGACATGGTGAACATGATGGCCGGAAGCAGCATGACCACAGCAGCCCCGACACTGTCCTGGAAGAACCCAATCGCTGCCAGCCAACCACTGCAAGGGGCAAGAGAGAGTGTGGGTGCCAGCACATCTGCCAGACAAGGGGCCACTATCCTTCATACATAAAGAGCTCCAAAAAACCAATGAGAATAAGATATACAACTGACAGAGACATGGACAATTCGTACAAGGACTTCTGAGGTGACAAAAAACTCACAAAATGATGCTCAAATCCACCAACGAAGACGTGCAAGTTAGAACAAAGTATAGTACTGGTAAATATCATGTGTGAGGGAATGAAGACACGAATACTGTTCTTAGTGGTAGTGTACACTCTTTTTGGATGGAAATGGCAATATTTATAAAAAGACTTAAACGTCCACTCCTTTTACCCCAACTATTCTACTTCTAAAAATTTATGCTACCACACTTGTTTGGAATCATGAAAAGCTGGTGTGCCCTCCATGTCCCCTGGCTTGGAATGACACGAACATAAATCATGCTACAGCCACATGACGGAATAATAAGGAGACATTAAAAAATAAGAGGAAGAACAGGAAGTTGAAGCTCAGTCAGCACAGCAAGGTCCTGTGAAACCTGTATGAACATCTGTCCAGTCATCCACGATTGCTTCTTGGAGGAAGAAGCAGGAAACACGGTGTTTTTGAGAATTATTTTTTCTAATAGGTAATAAAACCGCATGGTTCAATTTTCAGGAAACTTAATATACAAAAATAGTTTCTCTCCTGCCAACCCCCTCCCTGGTCCAGAGAGAACCAGTGTGGTATGTCTACTATGGATCATTTCACAGAGTTTATAAAAATGTGTGTGTGTGTGCGCGCACAAAGAAACATGTAAACAAAGTCCCTGCCCCTGCTCTGTGAAACAAGGGGAAATTCTATGCACACTGCTTTGCACTGAGGGGTGTGAGCAAAGCCGGGCAGCGGAGAGCTTGGGTGGGCGCTGGGCAGGATGGACAGGCAGCTGGGGCTGGGCCAATGGGGTGGTTGGATGCTGTCCTTGCAGGGAGGGACAGTGCCCTTGGGCTCCTGAGAGGGGAAGAGGGGCTGGCTCTCCTGTCGTCACTTTGGGGACAAATGATCTCCCACCAGATCTGGGCTAGCTGGGTGGGAGCCCCGGCCTGAGGATTATGGACTCTGGGGAGGGTGAATGTACCCACGGGCAGAATGTAGAACCTGGAGGCAGCTTCTGAGCACCAGCTTCCCAGACCCGCCCAAGGAGTGAGCTACCAGCCACCCGCTTCACAGAACACAAGCTCATTTACAAGCCAGGACGATGTCACTCAGAACAGCAGGTAATAAACTGGCCTTGATCAGCTACCAACGGGCGAGTGAGTGAGCCTGCTGCACCCCAACTATATCTAGAGAGGCCAAGGTGTGCAGCATGGGAAGCAGGAAGGATAGAGGCCTGGAGATGGAGGGCAGGGGCAGGGCGTGGACGAGGAGGTGCCAGGTGCTCCCCTTGAGCCACGCAGCAAGAAGCTCGAGTGGCTAGAAGCAGGGAGAGGGGGACAGAACACGCGAAAAGACAGCACAGGGACACAGACTGAAAAATCTGTGGGCAAGTTAAAATAGTTACCATGTCACCCAGCAATGCCACTCCTCAGTGTACATCCAAGAGAAATGAAAACACACACCCACATAGAAACGTGTAGAAATTTCACAGCAGCATTCACAACAGCAAAAAAGTAGAAACGGCCCAAGTGTCCATGAGCGGGTGACGGACAAACACAGCGTGCCCCATCCACACACATGGAGTGTCACTCAGCCATGAAAGGAGGCACTGACACTCGCCACAGCGTGGATGGACCTTGAACACATGGTGCTCAGTGAGAGGAGCCAGGCACACAAGGCCACACAGTGTGTGATTCCACTTATGTGAAATGTCCAAACAGGCACATCACAGACAGAAGGAGGGTTCGTGGTTGCCAGGGGTTGGGGAGGGGGATAGGTAGGTGACTGCTGATGGGGATGAGGTTTCCTTTTGTGATGGAATGTTCTAGAAACTAGACAGAGGTGCTGGTTGCACAACCCTGTGGATGTACTAAAAATACTGACTTGTACACTTAAAGGGTGAATTTCTGGCCTGTGGAGTGTATCTCAATAAAGCTATTACTCGAAAAACCCCAATGTGGGACACTCCACAGGACAATCAAGCTTGCTGATCAGGGAGAGCTGGAGAGACACCAACCCACTGAAATGGGCACAGTTCACCTGGGTCTGACGTGAACACCCTGCTAAAATGACATTTAAATAAATGCCACACAGAATCCTGAACAGAAAAAGGGCACTCGTGGAAACGCAGAAACGCAAATACAGCCTGCTGTCCAGGTGGCGGCAAAGGTGTCAGGCTGAGGGGTGAACAGAAGCACTTGGTCCCGTCTCCACACCTTCCGTAAACCTCAAAATCCCTGAGGTTAAAAGGCTACTTAAGGGGCAGCCGGTTAGCTCAGGTGGTTAGAGTGCAGTGCTCATAACACCATGGTTGCCGGTTCAATCCCCACATAGGCCACAGAGCTGCGCTCTCCAAAACTAGATTGAAACAACTACTTGACTTAGAGCTGATGAGTCCTGGAAAAACACACTGTTCTCCAATAAAAAAGTTTTAGGAAAAAAAAAAAGGCTACTTAAAAAGGAACAAAAAACGTAAGACAGTATGAGCACTTCTGAGCACCTGACAGTATGAAGGGCCAACTGCGGGTGTCTTAGGGATGAGACCACATCACGGTTACATACACATATAATATGGTCATATATGCTAAGCGTCCTTTTTTTTTTTTTTTGGTAAGATTTTTATTGGGGAATTGGGGGATGGGAACAGACAAGATGCTGTCTTTTGTTCTTCAGTCTAATTGTGGAGGACGTTGCTTCACTGGCCCAAGTTGGCACCATCATTGCGCTCTTCCCGGGCGAGGCAGATCAGTCACCAGCTTCTGGATGGCCGCTCACAGCGGCTTGAGGGCCGCTCACGCTGGCTGCTGGCTACACACGATAGCCCATGGCAACCCACTGCAGCAGGGGCTGCAGTCTACGCCTCATATGTGGGATCCGAACCGGGGCCCTCTGGCGTCCCAAGCCAGTTCTTAACCAACGCGCCACTCGACCGTCCCTAAGCGTCCTTCTTTATAGATTCACAGGGCAGTGTTTGCTGAGGAGACCAGACATCTGGAGTATGCAGGGAGTGACAGGTGCACAGGACACAGGACTGGCTTGAGGGGGTGACAGGGGCGCTCCTGAGAGCATCTCCTCTGCTTGGAAATGAGCCTGAGAGTCTCTACAGGAAACTGTTCCTACTAGTCCTTGCTCCTGCCCCACCGGGCAGCCCCGCCGGAGCCTGTGGTCTGCCTGCCCCCTGGTGGTGAGCTGTGGGACTTCCAGTCATCCTGGGCCAGGAGGGCAAGATCCAGGAAGGGGGCAAGTGCAGGTGGGCAGAGCTGCAACACCGTGGGGTCCCCACATAGAGCCCTGAGACCAAGGGGCTGAGCACAGTGTCCTCCATGCCCCTGTGCAGAGCCTAGAGGTCTGAGTGCAGGAACAATCAAAGAAACCGGAGCCACGAGGGGCTGCTGGCCATACACTCGAGGAAGTGACAGGGCCTTGGGTACCAGTCTCCCACCACCCCCAACCCTGTTGGCTTCAGTCTCATTTGTGGATGGGAGTCAATGCACGAAGGTGCCCAGACCCAACCTGCCCAAGTAGCACCATTGTTATCACTATCTTCCTCCTCCTAATCTCACAGAAAAGGAAAACACTTCAACAGTTCCTTCCCTGAGGTCCCCAACTGCTCGGCACCCGTCCCCTGCCCTGTTCAGCCCCCAAGAAAGTTGTCCCCACTAGTCCAGTGTGGAAACCAAGGTGGTGGAGGTGCCAGGCAGAAAAGAGCTTAAATAGAGGAATGAGGCCGTGACCTCAAAAAGGCCAACTTGCAAGGCTGGCCCTCGTGATGTCTGCAAATGCACTTGGGGGCTCTCACCACCCTCGCTGATGGCAAGGGGGGGAGGCGCGGGGGGTGTCCCTGGCCCTAAACCGTCTGCAAACACGTGATTCACGCTGAACAGCCGATCTCCTCCCGGAGTCTGGGATCTCATATGTGTCAGGCCCCCACAGGTAAGAACCTGTGGGGACTGGGTCCCTGTGAGCCCCCTGGGGACCACACTTCACACGCATTGTCATGTCTCATTTTGGGGGAATTAACCGAGGCATGTGGGAGTCCACCAGGGGAGTTTGCACCTGGTCTCTGGGACCTATCCCACGTGCCTTTTCCCTCGGCTCATCCTGCTCTGTCCTATCTGTGTACAAACCTGAGCCATGAAAACCACCATTGCTGAGTCCTGGGGAACTCCTCGCAAAGCACCCGGGAGTGGTCCTGGGGACCCTGAGACAATACTTCACCAGTCCTCCAGACCCAGATCTGGGAGGCCATCAGCCAAGAAGAAACCGGGTACTCAGGGTCCATGCAGAGCTCATGTGCTCACCATGTGGAAGGGAGCAATATCAGGAAGACTCAAGGAGACACATTCTGAAAATGATCTCGGGTGAAAAGATGATTTCGAAACTCCATGCAGAGAATGAAGGGCAGAAGCAGCAGCAGTAAAAGGACCGTAAAGGAGGAGCTGAGGGGAGGGGCTGAAGAGGCTATGGAAACCCACATGGCCTCAAGGAACAAAAGAGCGTGTGTGACTTCTCACTGCTGAGGAGAGACCATGGTGGCACTGCCAGTGGACACAGGAAAGAGTAACAGGGAGTAAAACCATGGAAATCACGGCAACAGGGTGCCCCAAACCGAGACCCAGAAAATACCACAAAGTGGAGGGGACCAGAGAACATGACACAAGGAAAGGTCCCTGAATTGGGAGCTCTGACTATACAGACGCAATGACTCCCAACGTTCCAAGAAAAACCAACCAAGCACATTGGGACATGAAGAGCGAGCCAGATGCTCCTGCCCAATGTTGGGTGCCAGACAAGGTCGGTGAGCAAGAGTCCCAATGGTGCCCCTGTCCTGGTCCTGGGACCTGCGGACGGGTCACCTGACGTGGCAGAGGGACTCTGCAGGTAGGATTAAGTCAAGGCCCCTGAGATGGGGATGACCCTGGATTACAGGGGGCCCAGTGTCATCACAGGGTCCTCATAAGAGGGAGGCAGGAGGCTCAGAGTCAGAGAGATGGAAGAGGCTGCACTGCTGGCTGTGACGATGGAGGAGGGGCCAGGAGCCAGGGACACAGTGCCTCTAAGCTGGAAAATGCTGGAAACGGTTCTCCCAGGGGCCTCCGGAAGGACCGGCCCTGCCCTCATCTGGGTTTAGCCTGGAGAGGCCTGTGTGGGACTCCTGATCTGAAAACTGGAGATGAGAAATGTGTTTCATTTTAAGTCACTAAGTTTGGAGTTGTTACAGCAGCCATGGAAACCGCATATGATACCCCAAACGAGCAAACAGGAGAGCAGATCTCTCTCTAGATGGTGCTGGCCCATGCCTCCCGGGCTCCCTTGGCCAGTGTGGCCAGGGAACACACACTCACCAGCAGAGTGCGGGTGGAGCCTCCACACACAGGCCCCAGGTACGTCCTCAAAGTGTTTATGGAAGCAGGAAGCCAACTTCTGCTCTCTGGCCATCAGGAGCTAGGGTCTGTGTTACTGTGTTCAGCCCACATCAACTAACACACACTTTCACTCATATGTAGTTAACAAGTGTCACCAACTTACCAGGCACCCCATCCTGAGAAGCCGATGGCCTGGATGACGGTCAGGACAAACTGGGCTCCGAAGACAAAGAAAAATGCCATGAAATTAAAGGAGCTGTCGGCCCTGGAGAAGGAAACGACCGTTACAGTGGCCCTGGCCGCTCAGGGATGATGGCCCAGAAGAAGACATGAGGCAGGGACAGCAGGACAGGAATGTCCCCTTCCTTAGGTGTGTCCACACACACGAATTAATGCACATGCACTCACACAAAATCTGACCATGTGGTCAGATTCTCAGAGGCCTAAACATGGCCCCTCTGAGAAGACGCTGCACTGACAGGTCCCTTGCTGGGAAGGAGTCTGAGACCCCCTGCACCCCAAGGAAGTCCAGAGGGACCTTGCCCCAGGCTGTTTCTAGTTCGATTAAAGGGAAGGGGGCTGGGAAGCATCTGATCATGCATGGCTGCTCCCAGGTGGTCCCTGAGCCCTGTTGTGTGCGGCGCTCCTGTGCAAGGCTGCTCCAACCAACCTGACCTCCAGCGACGTCCCCTTTCAGCTCTAGCAAATATGAGTGGGTTTCAGGTTTTTGTCCCCTCAGGGACCCTTTCTGACTCACTCTGAGAATCCAGGATTTAGGGACCACCTAGGGACAAATGGCACAGCCTGAGTAGTAGGAGGCTGGCTGGGGACAAATGTCCACAGCAGTAGGATTCATGATGGCCAAAGACGGGAATAGCCGCCATCCACACATGGGAGTGCCACTCGGCCATGAAAAGGAATGAGGTACTGACACTCGCCACAACATGGATGGACCTTGAACACACGGTGCTCAGTGGGCCACACAGTGTGTGATTCCACTAATGTGAAACGTCCAGAACAGGCACTTGGTTGTTAGGGGCTGGGGGTGACTGCTGATGGGGACGGGCTTCTTTTGGAGTGGTGAGAATGTTCTGGAATTGGAGGTGATGGTTGTACAACAGTCTAGAAACAATGAATTGTGAGGCTGATGAATTGTGTGGAATGTAAAGTATAAATCAATAGTTATTAAAAGACACAACTCAACAGGCAGCAGTGGGCCTCATTCTGCAGACCCTGACACAAGCTGTCATCCAAACTGGACAAGCGAGTGGGATTCTTTCTAATGCCTGAGCCAGGGTCACAGGGGCAGACCAGGCACAGGTCCTGGGTGTGGGGATCGGCACACAGACAAGCATGTGAAGCTGGGTGGTATCTGGGCTTCTCCTTCAGCCATCAGTGAGCCCACTGTCCACCATCAGCACAGACTTGCCCAGACGCCCAGCGAGGCACTGACCATGCCCCCACTTACCGGAAGGCCTTGTAGGCAGGCCGGAACCAGCACACATAGCCGCAGGGGGAGAAGAGCAGCAGCCACACCAAGGCCAGGCCAAAGTTGGTTCCCGAGCCACCGCCGATCCACCATGCCAGGCAGGCGATGAGGTTGACCCCCAGGGTGGCACAGTAGACTGTGGAGGGGAGGCGAGGAGGCTAAGCCAGGTCAGTAGGACATGGGCACCAGGACACCTCTGCCTCACTGCGCAGGGACCAGGGGCCAGAGGACTTAGGGGCCAGAGGTTCCCACAGAGCAAGCCCCACCTGCTCCGTCCCCCTACACCATGCCACCTCCAGGACCAATTTTTACCAGGGAGGAGATTTACAGATTTATTACAAAAACCTCAGTTCCGACAGACCAAGGACTGGAGGCTTTGTGGCCTGAGCTAGCCGGGGCCTGGGTCTCTGCGGAGGGGAGGCTCCCACCCACCCGACCTGACCTGCCCCGCCCCTCTGCTCACATAGCCACAGCCGGTAGATCCTCTTTACCAGGACCTGGTGCTCAATGGGGATCTCATCTGAGAAGTTCTGATAGAAACAGGGCTTCAGTGGGATGAAGCTGGGCAGCGGCGGGAAGTTGTTCTCCTTTTCTGCAAAGACAGAGCACAGGGGCTAAGCCAGCTGGGGCCCCTCAACAACAGCTCTAGAGACAGCCCATCCTTGTCCTGGGACCTGCGGACATATCATCTCATTGGGTAGAGGGACTTTTCAGGTGGGATGAAGTCAAGGACCCTGAGATGGGGACAACCCTGGATTACAGGGGGCCCAGTGTCATCACAGGGTCCTCATAAGAGGGAGGCAGGAGGCTCAGAGTCAGAGAGATGGAAGAGGCTGCGCTGCTGGCTGTGACGATGGAGGAGGGGCCACGAGCCAGGGATATGGTGCCTCTAGAAGCTGGAAAAGACCAGAAACAGTTCTCTCTGGGGCCTCCAGAAGGACCAGCCCTGCCCATTCCTGGGTTTAGCCCCAAGAAGGCCATGTGGGACTCCTGACTCCAGGACTCTATGATGATAATTTCTCTCTAAGTCACTATATTTGTGGTGACTTCTTGGAACCGTCATAGGAAACACACAGACTCAGTGACAGAGCCCAGGCCCTTTTAACACTTATGTCTCCAGGGAAGGTTCTGGCACTTAGAATGTGTGAGCATCTTGGGGCTGCTGTAACAAATGGCCACACAGCAATGGTTTAAAACAACAGAGATTTATTCTTTCACAATCTGGAGGCCAGAGGGCTCAGATCAAGAAGTCACGAGGCCCTGCTCCCTCCCAAGGCCCCAGGGGAGGGTCCTTCCTGACTCTTCCAGCTTCTGGGGCTGCAGACGTCCCTATGGTGGCCACATCACCCGTGTCTGCCTCCATGGTCACATGGCCTCTCCCTATGTGTCTGTCCAAATTTCCCTCTACCTATAAGGACACCTGCCACTGGATTAGTAACACGGTACTCCAGTGTTGCCACGCAGCTGTCTAGCCGTCTGTCCCCCTGCACTTACCCCTAAACTGACCTTTTGAGGACACTGCTCATATACCTTGCGTCTCCCTGTTTGGCCCCAAAAGATGGCTGGTTAGCCAATGACAGGTAAGATTCCTCGAGGAAGGAACAACCTAAGACAGGCACAGTCGCATGGGGGCCATGAGGAGAAATCTCGGGGCTGATGGAGGTGGACATAGGTCCTCACCTGCCCCCAAAGAGACTGGAGGTCTTCTACCTCTGTAGCTACATTCCTTCCTGCAACCTGCTTGGGAAGTGACCTGATGATGTGATAGTATCTGTCCTCAGCATAATAATCTTATCTCCCTGGGGTCATATGCATATGGGTGTGTGAAGGCAGAGCCTTTGTCTGGTCATGCAGGTGGACTTTCAGTAATAGCAGCTTGCAGACATGGGTAATGTGGCATGAGCAAGTTCTCAGAAATGAGATTCACAGACTGTGGAGAGAACAATGTTACTTCCGGGTATGTGGAGAAATAAAAGCTGTGTGTTGGCCCAATTGGGGGCTCTTAGTCCTCTAAGGTTGGAGACCTTTGGCCCCGCTTTCATTTAACTCTTGGCTGTTGTTTCCTTTCATTAACCCTTCACCGCCCCCTCTCGTTCTCTCACTGCCCTTGTTGTGTGGGACATGACACTCCAGAGTGACCTCATTTTAATACATCTGTAAAGACCCTATTTCCAAATGAAGTCCCATTTCCAGGTAAAGGGGCTTGGGACTTGAACATGTCTTTCTGGGACCATAATTCAACCAATGGCAGTGTAACATCAGTGCCGCCCTGTTGCCTCTCAGGGTATCTTCATTCATCCATACTGCCACAGGGCATGCTTCCTGAGCACCTGCTAGGGTGACAACGGACAACACAGATGGAGCCCTGTCCTCAGAGACTGCTGTGTGTGTGTGGGGGTGTACACAATACCCGAGGGGCAGAGCCTCATCCCACCTATAATTATTTTCTTAAAACAATATTTTAATTAACCAA